AAAAACGAGGACTCAAACAACACAACCTTGAACTTCATGGCTCAGCCCCCACGGGTTTAGCCACATGGTAGCAGCATTCCCTTGGGACCTTCAGGTCCCGGGTTCAAAACTGTGCTATGGGGACGCCTGTACACTTATCGTGCCTTGATCGGGTTGGGGCGCCGGGCTCGGGTCGCAGGGGAGTAGTCGGGCCCCGTAAGAATTGACCGGACACCCCTGTGTCAAAAAAAAAAAAAAAAAAAAAAACTTCATGGCTCGTCCCATTTATCATTCTTGTATGATACCAAAGTGTATCTGCATTTGAAGAGAATAAACCTCAGACTTATCTGCAGAACTTTCAACAAATTAAGGTTCTATTCAAACTGATGCTACATCGCAGTCCCTGCCTCGGGATCAAATGAATGCAACTTAACCATCTGCGGATTCGCAATCAGCTTACCATCACTCTCATTAATCCAAGTAAATAGGCCTGTAACATCTTTTTCAATATGGGCTAAAACATCAAACATACCTGCATTCAGCACCGAAAACCATCAGATTTAGAAGCTTCCAAGAAAAAGAACAATCAACCATATATGATAATTAGAAGAACACAAATTATGCCAACGGGGTTCATCTACGCATAACACACATGTAAATTAAGTTTGATATATAAATTTAAACTAAGATGATGTAATATATATATATATATATATTTGAATCTGTCAGTGTTTACATGAACAGTATAGAAAAGATAAATCCCTAATTAGAAGAAAAATATCTAAGTTAGTAAGACGTCAAGATGAACAAAATGCCGGCGGAGCCAGGGGCAAAGATGAAATGGCAAGGGAAGCGCGATACTTGGCCAGCCCAATTACGGATCCACAATCGATCTGTGCTTGTGTGAAAAAGTAGTTATTTAAGATAGACGCCCAATGGCATGTGGGTGGATGAGACCTTAGCTTTTGTTGACGAGGGACAATGGCTACCCCAAAAAGAAACAACAAAGCCCAAAACGAAAGTGAAAGCAAACAATAAAGAAGAGGCCGCATGGTAACGTACGACAAAAGAAAAGAGGATGAGAGAAAAGAAGAAATAAAACAGTACGAGTAAATAAATCCTTGCCTGCAAGAGAATCAGAAACATGGGAGGATTGGGAGCATGACATCAGATTTACAAGATCACATGCTTTAAAGGGATTCATGTCCTTCTTTCTTTCTTGCTTTCTTTCTTTTGGGTAAGCTGTTCGTCGGTCAACACTCGGGAGAGAGAGAGAGAGAGAGAGAGAGATGTGATGCGTGCATGCTGATGCCTGCAGGTGGCAGTCAAATTAGATTATGATCACGATGGAAGATTAGAATTAAAAAGAAAGAAAGGAATAAGAAATGATGATCCCAGCTCCAGGGACAAAAAAGTGAGGGAAGATTAGTTTGCGGTCGGAGGAAGAAGGAAATGGGTCCCCATGCTTTCGCCGGTTTTCGCCGCATCCGTACTTACGCTCCCCCACCGGCCCGCCGCCCGACTGCCAATGCTTCAGTCATGTGCACGCGCAACTCCCTTTTTTCTCCTTGGAACTGCCCACCCATTGTCGCTTCTTTAGGTGGACATGCCCATTAATTCCTTCTACTGCTCTTGCTCTTTATGTTTTGCCCATTCTTTGCTCTTTTTTCTTTTTCTATCAGCAGTCAACACTTTTGTTATATATGCTGCGGCAAAAAAATGTTATGATACTCATGAGGGGAGGGGCTGGTTTACTCTTCGTTTATTGCCTCTGCCAAAAGGGTAAAAGGATTCACTTTTGCTGCCTGCATGTCGCTCGCGCGATATTACTCCAACGTTCATTACTACCACGAGTATGTAACAATTTCATAATTTGCACTTCGTTTTTAAGTTAAAACTCATTCCCAAACTCGTTAGTGACATCAGGAGTCACGGCTGCCACTGTGCGCTCGGGTGCGTGCTCACTACGTCCTCATGGAATGACATCATTAATATATCAAGTAGATTTGTTATCGAGTTGAGTCCGGTTGGATTTGTTCACCACTCGTATACTTGAATAAGAATGTTCGTGTTCGAGCCCAAACTCGTTGAGTTTAAATTCAAATTTGGACATATATATATATTTATATCTTAGTTGAACTCAATCAAATCGCACTCAATCGAGTGTAATTGAGCTCAAACGAGCTTAATCTAGCTCAATTAAGTTTTCAAACTAGTTTTTCACTAAATTTCATAATTTTATAATAAATAATTAAAAACCAGTATATTATAAATACACTATTTGATAAAATTCAACGAGTACTTGAATTTTGATTTTTTTAACTTATAAATATACTATTTAATAAAACTCGACGAGCATTTGAGTTTTGATTTTTTTTTCTACTTATAAATGCGCTACTTGATAAAAGCTTGACGAGTACTTGAATTTTGATTTTTTCGATTTGAACTCAACTCAATTACTTTATCAAGTAATTTGATCTCGACCAACTATGAGCTCGAGTCGAACCTTTAATCGAACTATTCGCGAGTCTAAAAAAGAATTATGTTAATTTACACCCGTAGAAGTGAGTACAACATCGTGACCCGTAGAAGTGAGTACAACATCGTGCATATATATGCTCCAAAGCCTTAATCACGGCCAATTTTTGCCCACCACCTTTTTTTTCTACTTTTAGCCGTGTGAGTACCTTATTTGCCCAAAAACAACTTCGGACTAGCAACTCACTCACTAAAAGCCTTGATCCTTACCACTTACCACTTACCACACACACATACACAACCCCCCCCCCCCCCCCCCCCCCAAAAAAAAATAAAAAAACTGATACTACTAGTACTTAAGACAAAATATTACTATAATGCTAGAGGGATGTCGTTATAGTAGTGTTATCGTAATATTACACTGTGTTCTTTGATGAATTTGTCGAAAGAACAGAACAATGGACCGTCTTTCTCTCCAGTCCTCATTATTCCAACATGATGCATTGTGGCATTACATCTCCTCCGTCGAGAGAAGCAAAAGGTTATCCACATAAATTTTTACAATAATTAAAAGGTTAAAGAGTAAACAGACGAAAACTATTGATATCCCATATATATATATATGTGTGTGTGTAGAAACATATTAAGGATCGTCACTGTCGATTTAGATGCGTTACATGTTCTAATAAATTCAGCATGTACCAATGAATTGAGCATCTCTACGAAAAATGGTGGTGCCTAACCATGTATATATAGTTACTTGTTTCTGACTGACTTAACTAACTATCGTCTGATGTTCCGCAAACATCTCTACACTGTATTCACTGATGATAAACTACTCGCCTCTATAGTCTATACTAAGTGTGGAAATGAAAATTAGAGCGAAAACTGACTCAGTCAATTTCCACATACCAAGAAAATCAGAACCCAAATCCCAATCTGCTAGCAATCTTTAGTATTGGCATGGCCTTGCTAATTTTAACATAATCACAGTCAAAATGAAGATTAATAGAAAAAAACAAACACGCACATGCACACACACACACGCACATGCTAGCAATTAAGTTAGACTAGTTAGTAACTACCATATCTTTAAGAACGTTGCACCATAGTCTTAATTGTTTATCTAGATTAAAGCATCAAAGTTAATTAATACAGAAACGACTGGGGTAGGGGAGGGCCGGAGGGGGCAGGGGGTGGGTTCGGGGAAGGGCAGCGTCCTATTAAGGTCACGTCATAAAGCAAAATGCGATAGGAAGCAATAATACTAGGAGTACTAGTATTTATTAATTAATAGTGCTGCCCACAACAGCAGAGCAAAGCCCCGACAACAAGGACAGAGACAGCCGTCTATTTTAAAAAAGAAAAAAAAAATCCGAGTCATTCCATTCCCCTCTCTTTGTTCTTCACCTCTCTCTATCTTTCTCTTTTTCTTTCTTTCTTTAAACGAACTAACATACCTCGCAGCAGCCGTGTAGGTTTCACTGAAAAAGCCTGCTTTCATGTCTCCCTAGCCTCTAAAAAATCACTCTTGTACAAAGTCCCCGGAACCAAATAAGTCCCTAGCCAAGGAGTTGGTTAAGTCCATATTTTAACTGTAGGTTAGGTCGGAAGTTTAAATCTCATTTGTATTAAAAAAATACAAACGAAGTATCAAAATATCTTTTTGATCTGATCAAATGTATATATTTATTAGTCTTTACATAATTTTTGGTTCAGTGAACATCAAAAAGAGGTTAAGTCCATTTTTGAACTGTAGATCGGAAATTCAAATCTTATATACTCTGAAAAAATGTAAAAAAAGTGATAAAATATTTTTTTGGTCTAATTAAATCTATATGTTTATTAGTCTTTACATAATCTTTTTAGACTCCCTCTTCTCGTAGGATAAGATAAATTAGATTATAAAAATATTAACGTTATAATTTTTTTAAAAAAAAAAAAGCCCTTACCCCGACGTACGTACCAGTGCTTCCTAGTGCTTCTTCATTCTTTTTTTTTGGGAAGGGGTGGGGTGGGGAGTTTTAATCCTCTAGAGAGAGTAGACGTATCCCATGTCGCCGCCTTCAGCTGCTGCCACCTTTTCGGCTTTTCCAGCTTCTGCTTAGTAAATGAAGGCAAAAGAAAAGTTCATTTTCAGACCCGTTGTCTCTGTGTTGTCTACTCTACTGAAGGAGTATGTACTGCAACAAAAGGTCAAAGAAATGTGCGTACAAATTTTTTGCCCTATCCTTTTAGAGCAAAAGACTACGTAGGTCGATTTCCCTGAGCACGCGTTGCGACAACATCAGACAAACCCCCTCCCCCGGCCCTCCCTCTCCCAGCACATGTACCAAAATGCCGGTGTTCCAGTATTACTCCTCCTAATATTAATAATGAAAATGAATCCTTAAAGCCGAATGCTACACTGCTACTATTCCAGTATTCACTACTTCAATACTCTACTTCTTCTTCTGTACTACAAATACGGGCACTTCACTCACTCCTATATAAACACACCATCCACCGTCCTCCATTCTCCATCTCTTCCTCACACCTTATATACATACATACACATATATATATATATCGCAGCATCCACAATAGAATTCGATCCCCGCCTTAAAAACTTCATCGTACTGCTTCTGCTTACAAGAGAACTCTTTCTCAAATCTCACCCTTACTGTATTCACGTTAACTTGCTAATTGTCGTACAACACGTAGGTCCTTCAGATCGAAGCGTGATACGTAATCAAAATCGAGAAGAATGCATTACCAGGAGGCGGCGGCCGAGTCGTGGGGCTACTATGCAGCTGCACCACCGGCGGCGGGGGTGAGGCACGGCATCAGCATGGGAGGAGCGGACCCGTTGGAGAGGGTGGTGAGGCTGGCATCGGGGAGTGCGGTGGTGATATTCAGCATGAGCACTTGCTGCATGTGCCATGCAGTCAAGAGGCTGTTTTGCGGGATGGGAGTGAACCCGACTGTTTACGAGCTGGATCAAGACCCCAGGGGCAAAGAAATCGAGAGGGCTCTCATCAGGCTCCTTGGGAACTCGCCGCCTGTTCCGGTGGTGTTCATCGGAGGGAAGCTCGTGGGTGCCATGGACAGGGTCATGGCTTCCCATATCAATGGGACATTGGTCCCCCTCCTCAAAGAAGCCGGAGCTCTTTGGCTTTAAAAAAAAAAATTTATATATATATATGTATGCATATATAATTAATCAATACTGCTAGTATTTACGTCTCTCATCTTCATCTACTGCTAACTAGCAAGTATTAATTGATGAATTTCTATCCCATACACATGCACGGTTTAACAAGGAACGGGGCAGAGCAGGGAGAGGACTACAAATTGGTTTGCGCTTTTATTTTGTTATAGGCCAATTGGATTCCTCCATTTTGAACCCATCTGCCCAGCGGGTTTCCTTTTTTTTTTTCCCCAAGACTAATTCTCCATCGAGTTTATGCTCACCTGTTTTTTAGCAAGTAAATGTACTCGACTCCTCCATTGTATAGAGTTTAAGAGTTCAATGAAACCATCGATCTCCTTTTCTTTTCTTTGTTACGTATGGTACACTACATTTTTGTCATTTTGAATCTTGGTAATGCGTAATACATTCCTCTTTTTTTTTTTTTTACTTTTTTACAAAAATACTGTAGAATATGTAAAGTATCTGTGCCGCAGACTTCTGCCTCTTTGGTTGGTCAAATGAACTCTTTTTTCGTTCAACCCAATATCGTACAATGGATATATCTATGTATGTATTATACTTTTCCTCTAATTTGAAAATAAATGTTATAAATGACTTGTCGAAGACAGGGCATCAAAGCTCCTACCTCAACTAACCTTACGTTAACTGTCACAACAATATTAAGACCTTGATATTACTGATCCACGTCAGATAACATAAGAAAATGGAATAATTATTTTCTTATTTGAGAGAGAAGTCGAACGATGATAATCCCTAGTGCAAATTTACAAAGTTTCATGGTCAATTGGGTGGTCGAACATCGTTGTGGGTTCAAAGAGAATGATATAATTAATAAGCAACACTGGATTTGGAATGGGTTAAGAGAGACCTGTGGGCTGAACAATTTGAAAGGTAGTTTCGATCAACCGTTGTGCAACGGCCCAAGAAAAGATCTCGCGTCAAGAATTCCTGAGCCAGGAGATGCGGGTTTGCTCCACTCAATACAGCCCAAAGGGCTTTGTACCTCGCTACACGCTCTCCGAAACTCTTTTGTTTGCCATCCCATTGGGCCTGTCGCTAGACTGGAACGTCCCGGAGGGGCTGAGATTCTTATAATATATATATATATATATATATTTTTTTATTGATCATCTGCCCTCCTCACAAATTAAACGCAAGCATCTCCTGATAAACAATCTTAACAAAAGCATCTCCTAATGAACAAGCTTAACAAAAATACTGAAAAAAAATCAAAGATAATTGAACTAGTAAGAAGACTATAAATGACGGAACAACTGTAATAATCAGCCAATAACTAAACTTTACAGATCAAATTGAACTATTCTAAAATTAGAAATTTGCAGTCGAAATTGCATTGATATTCCAACACTCCTCCTTGTTATTTTTGTTGCAGATTTTGAGTTGTCTTCTCAAAATTATTTTGAACAAGACTTTTGTAAGAATGTTTGCACGTTGATTGATGATTAGCCTTACAATGATGCATCACGTCTTCCAGTTTCCAGTTAGGATCAAACTATAATATGAACGGCGGTGTCTCTAATATGCATGACCCAGCTATCAATAATCTCCTCTTTGAATTTTTTATTTCATCATACTCCTCCGCCTTAGAATTGTCAATTTTCAAGCAATTTATCGTAAAATTTTTTCTTTCATTTAGATTGAGAACAATTCATTCCCAACTAAATCGTAAATAACACAAGCTATGATTCTTATTCTTATGGAAAGGAACATCCAAAAATCCAGCGTAAATGCTGGTCCTGGACCTTTGCTCTAGCTGCTTTCTAATTTTTGCATTCATTGGATGGATAGAGTTGATGGTGAAACGTAATTCTCAACGAGTAACAAACTTTAAATGTATCGTTGCATGTTATTTATCTTAGAAACTACTACATTTATTATCGCACCGAGTATGATGATGTTATGTTAGTGCACACAACCCTTTTTTTCTTTTTTTTTCTTCTGAATGGAAGATTAGTAGTGCACACAGCTTTAAGCCAGCGAAACTTCTTGATGTGTGATTGCAGAGAGAAATGAGAAACTCAGCCAGCTTCCTTCCATATGGAAACATGTCAGGCTTTTAAAAGGGGGTCGTCTTATCAAAAGGGGTATTGACATTTGACGATCGAAGTCGAACCAGGCTCCATGCTGCTGTAGCCTTCACCGTCGTCGATCTAGCTTACAGAATGCGCGTCAAAGTTTCAATGATCTTACTCAGGAATCACATCTCGTTTGAAGGTCAATTCGTGATATAGTCGAAAAAAGGAAAGAGCCAAAGCGATTTGTTATCTATCAAGAAGATTTGCCGCGCGCCTTGTTTGCCTTCGAAATTGATCTCAGAATGACGGAGAAATTTCTAAGTTTGTGATGGATTTTAAAAAAATTCTACAAAAGGGGTGATTGTGGCGAGGAATTCTGTCGGGGGGTCTTCGCATTCGTGAAATGCGAGCTCAGGAGAGTTCGCATTTCACGAATGCGAGCTCTCAACAGAGCTCGCATTCCTGAAATGCGAGCTCTGTTGCTCGCATTACAGAGATGCAAATTTTTTTTCTTTTTTTTTTTTGGAGGCAGAGATTTATATTTTTGTACTAAAACAAAATGTTTTAAGATGTCACATGTGCGTTTGCATTCCTTAAAAAAAATTTATGAAATACGTTATTTTATTATAATACATTTAAATGGTGGAAATAAATTAGATCAATGTAAAAATAGAATGAAATTATTAACATGTAAGGTGTTGACTATATTTTATGAATAAAATACTAACTTTTGATCCTTTTTTGTGAAATAAGTTTATTTATCAAATTCTAATTTTCCTTTGTTATTAATGAATCGTATTTATTTGTTGACAACGATGAATATTAGTTATAAGAATCTAATAATTAATAGTCATTAATATCTGTTACAATTTTTTTATTGTAATTTTAGAAATTCCATAACGCAATGCTAATTAAAAATTATATAAGTTATTTTTATGAGGTGCATGTTATTTGTTTGGTAGTTGAAAAGGAAAAGAAATCAAATATCTAGCGATTAAATCTTGCGTGTTTTACCTTTTACAATTGATGCGAATGTAGATATTTTTAGATAAAAATCACCGGTTACACAACATTTGACATACTGAAATTGAAATGGGGTCTTGGCGCTGGGTAGTGGGAGCTCAGTGAGCTCGCATTCTGAAAATGCGAGCTCACTGAGCTCGCATTTCCGAAATGCGAGCTCCAATTGAGCTCGCATTCTCAAAATGCGAAGACCCCCCATTTACAGAAACCCCTCCAGGAAACGCCCTCGTTGTAGAATTCTTTTTTTTTTCATCACAAACTAAGAATTCACCCAACCCTTAGCAGCGAGTGATCGATATTCCCCTCCCCAGTTATGGATTACAGAAGAAGCAACTTAGAAACAGTTGAGATAACCAAATGACTTATCGTAGCCAAGAAAAGATGCTGAGGCCACGCAGTGTTAAGATAAACTCAACCCAGAGTCAGAGAGTACTGAAGAGTGAAGAGTGCTTGCGGATGAAATGACAATCCGGAGATGCCCATCGTCTTCCAAAACTATTGCATGCAGTAAAAGTTGATCATTTGCATGAATTATTGCATCAATCATGTTGGCTAAAACTCATGCATCGAATCGGCTAAATTTTAGGTGTAGTCCACCCAGAGTACGAGTATCCATCCTCCTATTGGCTTTTTAGTATTGTAGTAGTAAAATAAGGGAGAATTCTTACTTTATGGCGAAAAAAAAAAAGTGTTCTACAAGTGGGGCGTTTTTTGGGTAGTGTTCTTGAAATAGGGTGTTCGCATTTCCGGAATGCGAGCTCATCGAGCTCGCATTTCGGAAATGCGAGCTCAGTGACCACAAGACTTTTGACTCAGTCAAGACAATTGCAGAACGCATTTCTTGGATTATTTCACAGCAAAACAAAGAAAACCGAGCCGGCCAGCAAACTCCTGCCATAGCTGCCTCGCAATTGAAAAAAACTGAGCTGGGTTCTGCACATCGAAGCATCCAAAGAGCTGGCCACCATGTGTCCTGTTTTGTGCTGCTATTAACGCCGGACGGCAGAAATTGGAGGAGCGGCGCCACCATCTCTGTTGTTCTGCTCCGCCGGAAGCCACGCAAATCTGAAGTTTCTGCCTCGCTGAAGCAAGCCATCCAGATTGCAGCCATAGACGGGCTTCTACACCCACTGATTGGCGACCCATTTGCGACTTTGCCCACCCACTGCCGCCCCATTGCCGACCCAACATTTGCCAGCATTGCCGTCCCACTTCAAGTGCCAAACAGCATAAAGGTGAGCCCTTTCCATTTGCAATGCTTCACATTTTAAGTTTAATTAATATTTGAATACTTGAATCCAAAGGGAAGTTCAGATTTGTTGTGAAATTTGGGTTTAAATTTGATGTAGGTTGTGCTTATTTTTGTAATTTTTGTGGTGGATTTGAGGATTTACGTTACATTGTTCGAATTGTTGCAATTTTTCTGTTTCCAATTTGTTGTAGTTACGGTAATTGTGCCCGTGTGGACAGTGGAGCTGGAAAAAGAAGGAAATAGTTTTTTGACAAATATTGCAAAATAGTTTAAAGCTAAAACCCCTTTTAAGGAAAAAGTTCATTTAATTGTTTCAACTATTTTTTAAAATTTTTTTAAAATTAGAATGAAATTTAGGATTAATTTCTTTTCTGTACATGTAACTCTAAAAAGAAAAGTGGTGCTAGTCTCATTTTATTGTTTACGGCGGATAGAGAGGTAGTGGTACTACGAACGGGTTGTTGTTCATTTTTTTTTTCCGATAAGGCATAGGAAATGACTAAATATTCTAACATTGGACGAACTTGAAATAACGTTTTAAAAAAAGTCTATTTTTTTGTGTTGAAGAAGATAAAACAAAAAAAAAGGAAAAAAGGGGCAAGTTCCATTTAAAATAGAAAATGGATTCTAATTAAGGGAATTAAACATGAGATGCAAATGAGAAACGAATTTCTCTAGGACAGCTATGGGTAAATCGTACATTAGAGTTGTGTTCGTAGAGAAGATTTTAGAAAAATAAGGGCCTTGAACTAAAATGGAAAAATAAATTTTGCTAAAATTACAATATATGTTAGCGTGACCTAAAATTTGATGCGCGTTTTTTGAAGTTGTGTTGGATGCATTTCCATTGCTTTAACAGTCTTAGCATGCCATTTAATTATTTTTTATATACATTTAGACACTATTGTCGTACTTTAACAAGTGTATATAAATATATTTGACAAATACTTATTTTTCACTAATGTAGTTATAAAAGCCATTTACAATAATTAGTACTTTAATACGCGCTGTATAATTTGAAATGATAATA